ATGACTAATTATACAAATCCAGCATTCAAAATGTTTATAATAATATGTCCAGCTTAAGAAAGATGTATAAGAGTGCTACCACGTAATATCGTAAATAAGAAACCAGTGCCGCATCATGATTGGCTGCTTTCTTCTCGTTACTGTCCGAATTTCATGCTCAATGCTCACAATTTCTATGTCTGCGCGAGCGCATTCTTACTTTTTGTTCGATGTTTATAAACAAAGGTGGTGGACGGTGAAATTTGTGGATGAAATTGTCTCGTTATGTATAGGTTCGAGCACCGCATCGGCCCCAGCCGTCGCCTGCGCGGGACCAAATAGAGCGCGGAAATTATTTGAATTTAAAACGAACTATTACAATGCTCCATTTGTATTGAATCAAAATTCAATTTCCCTTTATAGAGTAGTGCTTCGATATTGTTGATAGTTACCAGCAACTTTAATTAAATTCATCATCCATCACAGCATATTGAAGAACTCAGCAGCTAAATATAATACAATTCAATAACTATTTACCTAATGAATACAGGCTAAGCGCTGTCCAATTTGCGTTTTTTTTTTTTTTTTTTTATGTAATAGCTCGGCAAACGAGCAGACGGATTACCTGATGGTAAGCAATCAGCGCCGCCCATGGACACTCGTAACGGAGGAGTTACGAGTGCGTTGCCGACCTTTTAGGGATTAGGGATTTGGAGATTTAGGGATTGAGGAGGGATTGGGAAAGGAGAAGGATTGGGCCTCCGGTAACCTCACTCACACGGCGAAACACAACGCAGTGGTTATTTCACGCCGGTTTTCTGTGAGGCCGTGGTATCACTCCGGTCGAGCCGACCCATTCGTGCCGAAGCATGGCTCTCCCACACTTAAAACGTTACTACATATTATGATCTAACCACAATAAAATTTGATAGTTTAACAAATATGTACATCGTGAGAATAAACACACAAGCAAACATATTAGTTACATGGACAGTTTAAAGTACAAGCAGACCGGTTGAACGAGCCTACATAATCGATACAGTACGGTCGAGTGGAGATATGAATCGAGTTAGTGTCCGATACGTGTGGCGAATGATATTGTCCTGAGAAAGAAATCGATCGAATTGCATGACAACTCTATGTCGTTGTACTAATTAATTACTAGGGTTGTCAACTGGTACTAATTACTTTGAAAATTGTTTGTCTATTTCTGAATTATACATGTTTGATGGATAAATTTAGTTAGTCACTTTTGCTTTCGAATTACCATTATTTTCGATTTTTAGTTTCGTAGCAATTATTTGTAATAACTCAATCAAAACATTACATTGTTATCAATTTGATATACCTTCAACAAAAGTGTTGTGTAACCGTGCAACGGAGACATGATCTCGCACGCAGCCTCTCCCCAGGTGGCAACCCTACACGTTAGACGCAGTCTCGTTACCTTAGTCGATTGTTTCGCTATCCAACAATCGGTATTCGATAGTATTCGATTCATCACGGCTGTCGACCATTACCGATTATGTTCTCGGATCGCGCCCGAGTTGAGAAATGTTAATTAAGTATAATGCGCGTGTCGTGTGGGTGTTGCACATTTACAAAAATAACAACAATATTCAATTACTAACATTTTGCTCTTGTGAAATCTATTCATGTTGATTTAATCGACCGTTCACTTGTATGTCACGCCCTTATTTTTTGGGTTTCAATGCTATTTTGAAATATAAAAAAAAATTACGTATATGACTAAAACTGTATTGTAAATAATTCAGTCAATACATTTTTATTTTCTATACTATATGTAGCAATTTCTTTGTATTACCTCCCAGCTCCTTTATCGATGAGGAAGAGTTTTTAGAGTAACATTGTACAACAATAACACAGTAACACCAGTCACCTACAATGCCTTCATTCTCCTCGTCCAGTACAGAGCCGTGATTGTGATATTGACACAATGCGGCGCCCGGCGCCCGCCCGGTGGACACAATACTTTAATTATTTCTCAAAGAACAACACGATTCCAATCCGGTTCGACTACTGTAGCCGACTGAACTGATTGTTACTATGTCATTGTTCCTATCTACCTTTTTGTTTTTGTTTATAATAGTGTGATAATTTGATAAGATTTCTACAGATTACTTAATCACTGATTTCCTCAGCTTTGCATTTTATCAAAATAATCCAGCAAGCTTATCTCGCCAACTATCTCGAATTTGTTTGGTTATCAGTTATGAACGCATACAAAAAACCAGAATGCACTAAATATTTAAATGCAGAAAGTACCAGGCTGCCAGAAAGTATAGAGGGTATTTCTTTCGGCAATGCATCATTGCAACTTTCTTGATAACGTATCAAAGTATACGACCCTAATTACATCCTTATCTCACTTGCAATATAATATACGGAGCCGCTTAATAAATATTGCTACTTTGAATATATTGTTTATAAATATATGGTAATTAAATAATTAATTATGCCTACATACACGCAGGTGTTGAATGATTGATGCCGTGTCTACATTAAACAGTTTGTCAATGAGAATGCTACTTTTATATTCAATGATGATTGTCGTTTTTATTTATAAACAACGCCACACTTATATCCGAAGGTGTACAATAATACTTTTAGTTAGTAATTGACAGTTGTGCATGTGGGAGTAATGTTGATAGTTCAGTGAGTAGCCAATACAAGAGTGTGGAGGTCTGGCCGGCCGAACACGTGTTGAGGACTAGTTACTCAATGGCTGTAATATATTTTGGCAGTAAATGTATCAGCATTATCGGCGGCCATTGTTTCCATATATAATTTAGTGGCACGAGTAGCTCACGAGGCCTTCAGATCGCATAACACAATCAATTGTACCCGAACCCCGTAAGCCTTGCTTAGCATAAGCTCCCTTGCTTTATACATACCTGGTACAGTCCACTTCTGTGACAAGGCAAGCAATTGTTTCTAGTTACATACATATTTTATTAACAATTGTTTTTATCAAAGGGTCACTTCGATCACATCTCAATGCAACGTGTTTAACTATGAGATATAGCGAGAAAGGAACATAACTGCAACGTGCATCAATCTCTTTATCTTATCAACTATAGCAACTTATCGTGGTTAATAGCTTCGCATATTTACTTTACGTCCGTAGTAGTTTTATAAAGATTGCTTAGAGCTGTATTTTTAAATAGCAACATCATAAATGTTGGTATGGTGTCACAAACTTTACAAAATTGTGACCAGATAAAAGCCTAGTCTATGAGTCTCATTGCTTTCTCATGAATTGATCCGACAACTTGGAGTGTTAAACAAAAACAGAAAAATAAACTAATCGAGTCATCGGCGACACTTCGTCTGGCAGCACAGACGAGACAGATGACCTGCAGCTGGCGGGTGCGCCTGCGCAATATGTGAGAACCGGCGCTATGACAATGTGGAACATCCTGTAACTACCTATATCTAAGTATAGCAACATCCAATATGACGTAGGTCAAATATTAGCACAATAAACAGAACGATGACGTAAAGGCGCATTAAATTTGCCGTAGTTTTATCAGAGAGTAAATAAAAAGGTATTAAAAATACCTTACTTCTACTTTATTAAGTATAATGTACAGTTGAACAAGCGTCTTAAAATCGCGATTTTATGTAAATACCTAATTCCCACCATAGCATAGACTACTGCTTACCAAGTAATAAAGGACCTATTAATCTGCATGCGTATACTTTATCGGCGCGTGCGTCACTCTCCGCCACAAGTGACTGGATATTAACTCTGATAACGCTTATCAGCTGCACTCGTAATCTGCTTTCTTATATTGTTTACTGGAATTTCTTCCACGCTCTCAAAATGTTTGTAATAAAATCCTAATTTTTGCATATTCTATCGTTTGTAAGATGATGTCGCTGGTTTTTTTTTTACAGTACTATGTCGTTTTGATCTATGTTCCACAATCCTGTGCCGATTATAGACTTGCCCGTCTAGTAAATCATTCGTCATACGCTACGTTTTCCGGTTCGCGGTCGGTATTTGAACCTCTCTTCCTCACCGGATACATCGGTGAGAGTACCAGGCTTCCATTAAATGAAGAAGGTGATCTAAATGTTATCTTCACGTTAGTATAAGAACGATAGTTTATTTCAGACCCGGAAAAGGCCAAAGTTAAAGGTCATGATAAAGAAACGTCATTATACCCTAACATCAGTGTAAGTTCTTCATTTCTTAGAATCGTCATCAAAAGGCCAAAGAAACACAAAATAAATGACTTTGATATAATGTCAAGTTTATGGAAATCATGTGATGTGTGACGTATGTTTTAATTTTCATTAATCTTGTCCTGCATCACATTGTTATCAAAGGGGTTATTAATGCAGCTATAAAAGTCTTATGATATCACAAAACAATTGGAGTCATGCTTGTGTCACTCGTACCTATTTATAAAATAATGTTTTTTTTTTTACTTACTATTTGCTTCGGTATACTTGGACCTGTATATTCTGTAATTATTTCAATCATTTGTTCAAATCTTTTGTTGATATTTTATTCCTTATTTAATTAACGAAGATTAAATCAGTATTTATCACAAAATCTTGTTCTAGTTTAATTTCAAAACGGAATTAAGTAGCAAGACAATAAAAAACTTTTGATAATTTATAGATACTCCACAAAGTGGGGCAGTGGACACATGTGTGCTGTTATCAAACAAAATGCTCAGAATTTTCCTACGAATTAATTGTATTGTAGTATAATGACCGCGTATCTATTGCGGTATCTGTACTCACGGCTAATTAATTATCTAGATAATTATTGGAGAAATTTGAAAACAAGGACAATTTTCTTCAGTCCTTGCTGGTACTTGAATTGTTTACCTCTACTTATACACTTATACCTACCTACGTTTACAAAATACTGTTTTCCTACTTTCTTGATCATTATGCGTACATAAAAGCACTAGTAGCACTACAGAATTTTTGTAAAAAAAGGGACATCGTGTAAAAGGATAGTTACAAATCAAGACACTCACCGTGAATAAATAACGTGGTATGGTAAAGCATGTTCTACTATAAAATTCGTTGTAGTAAACAAATGTAGGAACACATCGGTAAGCACACAGGTCGCGAGCTAACAGCGCGAGTTCACACTGACATTCTATTTGTGATCATCCCTCGAAGGATATAAATATTGGCGGGATGTAGCGCGGTACCCGGGCGGCGGCGTGGCGCGCACTGTGCCGTACCGGCTCCTCCGGCCCGTACTACGACATCTGGGAAAGTGGACGCCGTCATGCAGGACCTAGCCAGTGGAAGGTCAAGTTCAGATACAATTTTAAGGCCAGACATTCAGGTGAAGACGCTGGCTGCATATCAATCGCCGCGCCCTTTATGCTGCCCTGCTAATTGACTAACAACTCACATTGTAGAGCATTTATTAACAATTGCCTTCATTTGTAGCGACTGACCCGTGCGCTTGTCAACGTCGTCACGACTTCTTTAGAGGTTTACGGTTATCGTGGCAATTATAAGCTGGGTCACAGTAATATAGTTGTTTAGCTAGAATGTATCTCAGAATAAGTAATAAATTAATCAATTTATAGAGTAGAGTAGACCATCGAGTACAAGCGAACACTGAACATACCTACTTTTTTTTCGTAAATATTGCTATTTCGTTATTAATATCCAGCTTCCAAATAAAACATCACACACACGTGGGATAAACGTTTACTGAAACCAAACAATTTCACTTTTACTATGCACCAAAATTGGTTCCTTTCAACATTCCCCATCCACAGCATCTGCAGCATGTGAATAAATCTCGCTATTTGTTCTCTCACTCGTACGTTACCGTATTGCAGTAAAAAAGAAAGAGATAAAATACATCCGCAGCGCGCAAGTCCTCACCCCTAGAGCCGGCAGACGAATTATTGCCAGGTTTGGACAATCAATAGCGAGTAAAGCCGGGATGAATGGAATCATGGCGGAGTTACCGCGGCGGCGGCCATTACACATTATGTGCATTTATACGACAATATCGCGGGGCCTGAGGTTTATTGTTCTCTGTACGACTTTTTATGGATTGCTATTGTTTTATTATTGTGATTGAACAGAGATACGACGCGGTATTCATTTAATATATTATTGTTCCAACATTATGTAAAATTAATCACAATGTAAACCTTTTATAAGTATCACACATTAATATTTAACTTTCCCAGGCAATTACTTGTATTTACTGATTACACAAAACAATAAATCTTGGAATGCCCGCCCCTCACACATTGGGTGAGTAAGTACATGATGAGCAAACTATCATCCCCCTCACTTAACGAGGCAAGCGTACCTCACTCCCAGATGTAATCCTATTAGAAACATCCCCTATAAACTATAAATAGTTGTAACTAGACAAGCGTTGACCCCAGGGTACACTCGTGTGAAGTTTTCCCACGAAACTCTAGTACTAGAGCACTATCGTTCAACGTTCAAGTGGTTACTGCGATAACTCTAACTTCTTAATTACCTATTACGTACCACATACGGCACTTGACTCGGCGATACTTAAAGGAATAATATCTAAGTAACTAATACATTATCGTGAGTAGTGACAATAAGTGTTTGAATTGTATACACTACAGTTAGGGTTAGTCTAGTATTATGAGATAGCAGGAGAACAATAATAGTCCTAAAATTATCTTAAATCACTTTTCTATCCAAATGTGAACTATGATAAGTATGAAAACTAGGTGAAGAAAGGAAGCTGTTTTTTCTTTTCATTACTCCTTCATATTGATATCCTTAATATACTATTAACATCTTGCATAAAATGTTTAGATAACGGATTTTAGTTTGAGTACAATGACGACATATTGAGCCGCGTAAAGATTATAACATTAAAACCATTTTTATGACAAAAAAACTGTGTATGTTTTTTAATATAGACAAATGAAATAGTGCAAACACTGCACACAGCATAGTCGTCAGCAAGCACAAGAATAGGTACCCAGTGTGCTGACGCGGGCATTGTGTAAATAGAATGTGTTACTTTGTAATACGTGATAACTATAAATTCTTTCTATTTAACACATGTGAAGTAAATAAAATGAAATTCATGTAAGTCTTTGTACGTTGATAATTTATCGTTTTCTATACAAATATATAAGTCCAGCAATAAACAAATACGCCTTTAATTACTTCTTGTTATCGTTAACTTCTATTCGAACTTTGCAACTGTTTGTAGCACTTTGTTCGACAGTAGATAGAGTACAAACAATACAAATGATCAAGTACTTCATTACCATGAAGCCGTTACAGCTAAGACGCTGCTGACAATTGGTGATCATCTCCAGTCAGGCAATTAGTGGCGCGACTGCCCGCCCGTGATGATATCACTGATATTTCCATATCTCCAATATTTACTGCCACTGCGACCACACAACACTTGCAGTGAATCATCCGTCAACAGCAACAATTGGCCGTAATGGCCACCACATCAAGTTGTTGATCAAACACACGACAAACATTCCACACCATTGTCATTTAAATCTGGCATTATCATCATAATTGGAATTTTTGCAAACATTATTCATTTCATTGTATTTTTCAATAACCTACACGTACTTACTGAAAATATTGTTTTTCCCAATAGGTACCTTATACCTACATATTATTGACTCCAACATGTGCGTTGTTCAAGAAAGGTCTGAGATCATCATTCTATTTGACTACACTAATTTATTAAGGTTTATTTAAACACACACATTCTTCATATCAAAATACAATATCCACTTACAGAGAAACACAATTATTCTCATTTTAGCTTATTGCATTCACATTTCACATTTCTCATTCCTTAAATGTCAGCGCATGTCGCATAAGAAGGAGCTCGAAGCATCCAGGCAGACACGAGGGGTGAGAGTAGCTCGAGAGATCCTCGGCGCAGGTGCGACGAGTTGGCACGGTGCCAGACACGGAGGCAGCGCGGAGTAATGCCTAGACGTACCTCACCGAGCCCTCCACACTCTCCATCAGGAACTTTACACCTTGCACTTTATGAATCGCTAATATGTTCGGAACGGCCGGCGCCGGCCGCGCCGTACTAATGCAGCCGCGCCGGTTCCGGCCATTAGTTCCACCCCGACTTGAACAAGTTCACACAATAATTGAGTAATTACTCGTAATTAGATTAGATGTTACGACTGTTTGCTATGAATATTTATTTTACCCCAGGGCGCGGGGGCTTTGGGTATTAAAATATCGTTGGAACCAATTCTGGAAATCATTTATTTAAATGTATGATGGTTCAATAACATTGTGGTCAAAAAATCGATGGATTTGATTATTTGTTCAAAAATTACGTAAGTTTTATTATCTTTCATTTGGCGCGTGGTAAACAGGTGCCAGATGCGACGCATTCCGAGATATCGTCCACAAAACAAACAGATGTGATTAATACGGTGAAAGCTATCGACGAATCCGACTCTCTTCAAACACGCTAATATTTGTACACACACTCTAATGTGAGAAATTTCCTCACATCTAAATTAGCGGCTACACATCAATATTAGGTACTCAGGAAATAAATATAATGGAACCTGAGGACTTACACTACACTTTAAATTATTCATACAGATTTCATAAACAACCAGGAAACAGTAAATGGATGTTTAAAATAAATAGTTATCTGTTATACTAAAGAACCTGACTTCATTAGAAACATTTACTTGCACATTTCCCGAGTTCATAAAATCCATCATTCTCTGAAAACTAAAACGGAAAAGCGTCTACAGTTTCCGTGAAATATCGTAAGTACGTACCAGGTTTCCAGACGGGGGAGGAAGTGCAGTCAAAAGCCAATAAAATAATGAAGGAGGCAGTAAAACTCAGTCCACATTGTGCTGTGTGGGTACATAGTTGCACAGTGTACAGTCTGTCTAGACATGCGTGAATAGCAGCGCAACTGCGGTAATGCCAATGCAGTGCGCCACCGCCGCCGCGCCGCGCTTTCACAGAGTTTTGCTCCGTAAAATGTAGTTCAACCAAAACCTATATCGCCGTACACATATATGTATAATTTGCATCTGACATATGAAATGAGGGCACGCCCGCGGCAAAGAATACAAAGGAAGCTCCATGTTGAAAAGTGTTACTATTTACTGGATTCGTTTGACCAAAACCGAATTAGCCATAAAAGTAAAAACGTTTTGTAGTGAAACTACTAGGAAAGCATATTCCCGCGCGTCCATCTTTGATCTCACTGATGCATTTGACGCGCTGACTGATGTATGCAGCTATACGCTCCGGTTGAAATCGTTCGCCTTATAGATCCGTTTGCTTGCGTAGTTCTATTTCTGTTGTTATGTTTATCAATTTTTCTAGCGCCATATGCGATCCATGCAGACGCTTTCATGTTACGTACTCGAGCGTAAGTACTATCTCATGTAGTTGTGTGGTACGTCTGAATAATAGAACCCTCGTGCCGACAAAGTGGATGGTGTGGACGATAAACAGAGGAGCCAGTTTTAATATCACCCTGTGGGAAGCTGGCCAGACTGGGCGAGACGACCACAGACGTGTAAGATGAATGTTATAAACATTAAACAGATATAACAGCTTTCAATAAAAGCTCAAACGGTGTTTACACGGCGTACAAGTACTACTACTTTTATCCTTTGGAAACAGTTGAGATGAGCATAATCAAAAAAGCACTCACACTAGTAAAGCAAATGTCAATTCATGATTCATGCACATTTCGATTTTCAAGACTGATTTTCTCACTCAATAAATAGTACTTAGGTATTATTTAAGAAAAACAACATTGCGTCTCTATGTTATTGGAGAAAAGTGACAAAACGATTCGTTTTGTTTGTGCCTAAATTGTAGTATTTGCGGAGACTGTAGCGAAAGAAAAATGTATGAAAAGGCTATCGGAACATCCACTTCAAATAAGAATGGCTTGAGACTTGGAACTAACAGCTGAAGCAAGCAATAAATCATAAGTCGATTTCTTTTCCGATACATTTTCCTGAATTACAGTTTGCGAATGTTTGTAACAGAAAGTGGAATATCGTCATTGACTCACGGTGCCGCTTGCACAGCTGTGGCACTTTGTTTTTCAGCCTTCATAAGTTCATACGTTGTATTTCCCATTACTCAGGTGTTTCTTTATATGTAGGTACCTACTTGACAATGTATTTTTATGTCAAGAACATTCGTAGTATTTGAAA